CCATGGTATATTCAATACTCTTCTCCAGCACCACAGCTCAAAGGCATCAATTCTCCTTCTGTCCTCCCTAGTCATTGTCCAACTCTCTGATGCATAACAACTGATTGCAAAGACCATAGCCTGTATCAGAAGCACCTTAGTCTCTAGAGTACCACCATTGCTCTTCAGTACCTTGGAGAGGTACCTAACAGCAGACTTTTCCATAAAAATATGGTTTTGGTTTTTTTTTTAATTTCCTGGCTGATGGTGCCAAGAGAGTTGACCGTGGAGCCAAGCAAACGAAAGTTGTAAACAATCTCAATCTCTTCACCATCCATCCTGATGTTGCCAGTTGGTCCAATGGTGAGAATCTTTATCTCCTTGACATTGAGCCTCAATCCATACTGATGGCTGCAGTCCTTGACCCTCTGCAGCAAGCATTTCAGGTCCTCCTCAGTTTCAGCAAGCAGGCTTGTGTCATCTGCAAAACGCAGATTATTAATAGATCTTCCACCAATCCTGACACCACTCTTCTTCTCATAGAGCCCAGCCTCTCGGATAATCTATTCTGCATCCAGGTTGAAAAGGTAGGGAGATAGGACACATCTGTGGCGTATACCTTTCCCAATTTTGAACCATGCAGTGTTTCCTTGCTCTCTTCTGATGACTGCCTCTTGGTCCAAGTATAGGTTTATAGTGTTCTGGGATTCCCATTCTTCTCAGAGTAAGCCAGTTTGTTATGATCCACACAGTCAAATGCCTTTGCATAATCAATGAAACACAGATATACGTTCTTCTGGTATTCCCTGCTTCAGCTGAGATCCATCTAACATCAGCTACAATATCCCTAGTACCACGACCCTTTCTAAACCCAGCCTGGACTTCTGGCAGTTCTCTGCTGAGGTGCTGTTCCAGTCATTTTTGGATAATCTTCAGTAGAATCTTGCTCGAATGTGAAATCAATGATATTGTTCTCTAGTTTCCACACTCTCTTGGGTAACCCTTCTTTGAAATGGGAACAAATTTAGATCTCTTAAAAGTTGATGCCACTTGGTTTTTGTATATGGAGTGAGGTGGGGATCTTGTTTAATTCTTCTGCAGATAGTTTTCCAATTTTGCCAACACCATTTGTTAAAAAGGCTGTCAT